CAGGATGGATCTGGTACAGAAGAGGACTGGGAAGGATCTGGGGGTGTGTGGTGGTTTTGAGCAGACAGAAATAGGTGGTAGGTGTGAAAGCAGCAGGTTCTCGAGGTGTCGATTTGTGGAACTCTGCCATGGAGTGTGCTGGAAATCAGTGTGGGATGGTTCAAAGAGCAACAGGACAAGCCTGCAGAGGAGGACAGACAGGGCCATCAGCAGCCACCTAATGGTTGAGGGCAACCTCTGGCTCAGGTGGCCCTAAACTCCTACTTCCCAATGCCAGACGTTGGACTGATGTGGGCTATGAACATCTTCAGGAGGGAGAGCAGAGCCTGTAGCCTACATGGGGCTGAAGCTTTGTTGTCTAAAAAAAAAAAAGAATCACCCAGCAAAAACTGTGCAGGCGGCTCCTTGTGGTGCAGGGAACCTGCCTGCTAGAGCTGGGCCAGATCTGCTGATTTACTCCCACAAAATGGAGCACGAGCTGCACCACAAGGACTCACTGCTCTAATTTACGAAATGCATCTGCGACCACTTCTTCTTTTGTTGCCAGCCCAGATGCCTGTGACCACCACCAGCATGACAAATGTCACTGCTTTGTGTGAAGGTGCTCACTGCTCCACAGCTATTATCCAAAGGTTAATTAAGTATATTAGAACTGTCTGGATCTCAAGCATTCCCCTCACTTAAAACAAAGCAGAGGGCAGGTCTCTGGTGAAGGAAAACTGTCAGGATGGCGCTAAGGGTGTTGGGCATGGGAGAAGCAAATGCCACTGCCTGCCCCTTCCTCGAGACCTCTGCATCCCAAAGGAGTCTGGCTTTACTCGTGGTCTGGGGCCACGGGAAGCAGCCCAGGCCCACTGCAGGGTCAGCACAACTCACGGCAAAGCACCAGGTGACAAAACACCTGGGGGGCTGCAAAGCCCCAGGACGTGGGATGCTGTTTCTGGACCCCATCCTCAGGGCATCAGCTCGAGGGAGGCTGTGGCCTCCCTGCTCCTGCAGCACGAGTGAAATGAGCTGAGAGGTCTCAGCCCTGATCCTGGGTGGCACAGAGGGATATTTGCTGCCGGCCAAGAACAGATTTGGGTTGAGCTGCAGCTCTGGGGAAAGGGTCAGGCCCTCCAGCCAAAGGGGGGAGAGAGCTGGATGCCTGGCTGGCCCCGGGGCAGAGCTCTGTGGCTGCCTGGGCTGGGGCAGTGACCTGTGTCCCACCCAGTGACCTGTGTCCCACCCAGTGACCTGTGTCCCACCGGGCAGGCACATCCCCCGCCCGGCCGGGAGCTCTGCCCGCCCCTCTCCTCCGGCCCATCTGCAGCTCCTCCTCTGCCAGCTCAGCCAAAGGCAGCTCCACCACCACGGGGAGCAACTGCCAGGAGGCTTCAGCGAGCAAACACTTTGCAGCAAAGTGCAACACAACGTTAAATCACAGCTAAAAATATTCCCCCAGAGCTTTATTAGTAAATGCCACAGTTGGTGGAGTTTGGTGGTTTTTGTGTTTTTTTTTTCCCCTTCTGCTGCAAAATGTTTCAGCTCTAGGAACAGCACTTGACTCAATTGCCTCTAAATCTCCACCACCTGCAAGGGCTGGGCTCCACAGCACCAGCCCTGCTTAGGAGGATGCCATAAATGCCACTGCCTTGTTACCTTGGGGTTAGCATGAAAACCAAGTCCTGCTGCAAGTCTGGGTTAAAACAAACAGGCTCCTGTGGGGTTTTTATCTCAGTGATGGGTTTTTACAGTTACATGATGAGCAACTGCTGTAAATCTCAGAATGTTTTGGGTTGGAAGGGACCTTAACCATGATGTAGTCCCACCCCCTGCCATGGGCAGGGACACCTTCCACTAGCTCAGGCTGCTCCTAGTCCTGTCCAGCCACAGCTTCTCTGGGCAACCTGTGCCAGGGCCTCACTACCCTCCCAGGGAAGGATTTCTTCCCAATATCTAATCCAAATCTCTCCTCTCTTAGTTTAAAACTATTCTCCCTTGACCCATCACTGTCTGCCGCTGTTAAAAGTTGCTCTCCCTCCTTTTCATAAACCCCCTTCAGGTACTGGAAGGCTTCAGAAAGAGCCTTCTTGTCTCCAGGCTGAACAACCCCAACTCTGGCAAGCAGGTTTTCATGCAGCACTTTTCCTTGGGGTTTAGCTGATGTGGGGTTTGGGTTCTGTTGTTTCATATTTCAGAAACGGGGAGCCCTGGGTAGCCCTTGGCACTGGTCATAGAGCTGAGGGCCACTTCTTCAGGTCCGTCCCATCCCACAGAAGCTTCTCCCAGCCCTGGTGGCACCACCCACACCTTTTGGCTCTGTCTCTGCTACGGATACAAATTAAATCCATGAAAAAAAAAAAAATCAATCCTGATACCCTAATGCTGAAGGGAAAAAGGTGTGGGGCAAGGTGTGGATGGAACTGCATGATCCTCCTCCATCATCCTTTGGCTGCTCCATGTGTGGCTCCTGCCTGGGAGCAGCGACGCTGCCTTGATCTTCAGAGGAGTCAGGGGATGGGGCTGTGGGAACACAGCACAGATCCCGGCTCTGTTTTGGCTGGAACAGATCCCTGCTGGCCCAGGAATCATGTGTTGTTTTTAATGACTCCATCACCAAAGGAAAATCTCCAGTGGCGGGTTTTCCCCCCTTTGTGCCCAGCTCATTACCAGAAGGATCTCTGCCGCTCGCTGCCGGGCTGTGCGAGCAGGACGCTGCCGAACAAGCCAGCCTTTCTCTCCCCAGCATAGAAGGCGCTTTGATAAACCCAGGAAACCCTCAGCCAGCAGCAAGGGGCTTTCTGGAAACCCGGCACTCGCCGCCTGCGGGCACAGCCGTAGGCCTGGCACCTCCAGCCCCGGGGCAGGCGCTCCCTGCCAGCCCTGCCCGGAGCTCCCTGCGCAGTGTGTCAGCCTGGCCTCTCCCACCGCTGCCTGACCTGCTCCCTACAAAAATCCCCCGTTGGATGTGGGGAGGTGGGGGCAGATCCCAGGCAGGAGCCGGCTGCAGCCCCTCTGCTCGGGGAGACGTGCGAAACGCCGCGGCTCCGGGTGCAGCTCGGAGGGCGCCTCTTTGGATGAGCAGCTCTGCAGAAAAGCGTTCTTGCTTTCCCTTTTTTTTTTGCTCCTTAACACTTTGGCTCAAGGGCTGTTGTTCGTAACTTGTCAAGATCTTGGCATCGGCGGCTGATTTGTCATCCGCCATAAAATGGAGGATGAGCATCTTCGGTTCAGAAGTGGGCCAAGGGAGATGACAGCTCCAAGCAAAATATGCTTCATCTCGAGTTTTCTCTGAGGGCCTCAGCTCCCGGGGAAAGGAGCGGGCATTTGGGATCTGAGTTGCTTCACAGCGTTCCGGGTAAGAGCCCTTCGCCTGCTCTGCGTTTGTGACAGCAGAGCTGGGTGCACATTAACCTTCTGGCTGCCAGAGGGAGTTGTGCCCGCCTGACGCCGTCACCGACCTCCCCTGTTCACCTTCCCCCAGCCTGTCACGGTGGAAGCTCCTGAGACACACGAACGCCACCAAAATGCCATTTTTCGTGGAATTCTACCGGCAATCTCCTTACAACCCAACGAGCTGCAGCGTGAGGGGTGTGCCTTGGCAGGCTGAAGTTTTGAAGATGAATTATTAATGCTGCCAACGCCAAGCTGCCCACACCCCCCCAGTGCTGCTCTCCCCTGCTCCAGCTCCTGCCCGGCACTGCATCCGGCACCCGTTCCCGTGTTCCAGGCGGCCCCAGAGCAGCCACAAACTACGGGAAAAAGCATCTTAATCCACGGGTATTTTATCACTCCGACACCACCACGAGGCAGCAAGAACTCCAGTTTTCAGCGATAAAATTAAAGCTCCCTGCAAGTAGCTGAATCACTGAGCGTGGAGGCCCAGGCTCTGCACCTTTGGGGTGTGTGTGGGCCCACCTGCAGCCTGCCCACAGGGGCACCCCGGCTGGGGGCTCCAGCAAGGGGGCTTCCAAACACGGGGGGGGTTGCCCAAATCCCAAGGAAGGCACCAGGTTGGGGGCTGGAGAGGGAGGGGGCACACGCGTGACAGGTGACACCAGGGTTGTGGCCTGCTCAGCGCTGTCCCCTCTGCACCCCCAGCCTCACACCGGGCTGCAGCCCCCCCGGAGCCCCCCCCGTTCCTCAGCCAGGGGGTGATGAGCCCTGCCCTGCACTGGCTGTAGGTGCACGGGCAACGGCGGGCCCAGTTCATCCCCCACAGTGATGTAAAGATGATGGATCCTCCCTCTCCGAGACGCACGGATGTGAAGTGATGCCCCCCACCCCCACGCCGCCCCCACGTAAGGGTGCAAAGCAGCCAGGTACCCCCCGTTCCGTGCCGGAATGCAAAGGGACAGCTTTGTGACCCCCTCCCCATCGCCGGGGCGCAGAGAAGCCCAGCGTGCCAAGCGCTTTGGGCATCCCTCCCTCCCGCCATGGAAACGTGCAGAGCAGCCTGACCCCCTCCCCTGCGCGCAAAGGTGCGAATCGCCGGAGGATTCCCCGCCCCCGCACCGTGGATAGCCGCAAAGTGCAGGGACCCCCCGCGCAAGGATGCGGAGCAGCCTGGACAGCCCCCTCCCAGCGCAAGGATGGGAGGGGAAGGAGGGCAGCCCCCCATCCCCTACGCGGCCCCAAAGCTGGGGGGACACCCCTGCAATCCGGGGACACAGAGCGGCGCGCCCCCTCCCCGCAAAGATGCAAAGGGTGGAAGACACCACCCCCCCACCACTGCAAGGATGCGAAGGGGTGGATGACCCCCCCCCCCAAACGCAGGGATGCAAAGCGGCCAAGGATCACCCACCCGCCCATGCGAGGATGCAGAACGGTGGGGGATCCCCTCGACTCAAAGATCCCCCCCCCCCAAAAAAAGGATGCAAAGCCGCGGGGGACCCCAATAAAAAGACTGTAAAGCGCCTCCCCCATGCGGTGTCCCCCCACTGCAACCTCACGCACGGGGGGAAAGGGGACCCCCCACTTCGCTTCTGCCGCGTCATTCCCGCACCCGCTGCGCTCACCTCCTCCGGGCTGGGGGGGGGCCGCGCCGTGCGGCGGCGGGGCCGTGCGGGGCCGTGCGGGGCTGCTGCGGCCGCCGCTGCCGCTGCCCTCGCCCCGCTCCGCTCCGCTCCCCGCGCTGCCCGCGCCGCTCCGCAGTGCGCGCACGGCGCATGTGCCCCCTCCGCCACCGCCCCCGCCCCGCTCCGCCCCGCACGGCCCCGCACGGCAGCCCCGGGGCTCCCCGAGCCGCCCCGCACCCCGCCCTCGCAACTTCGGGGGGTTTGCTTTTTTTTTTTTTTTTTTTTTTAAATATATTAATACCTAATTTCCCGTATCTTCTCATCCCTTTGCCATGAGCTGCAGGTTTAGCCCATCTGGCTGGAAATCCTTCAGCTGGCCAGATCAGGAGCAGAAAGGATGCTCCGGTGAGAAGGGCATCGTCTTCTCTGTGTTTGGCATCACCACCACCTCCTCTGTGCTTCTCCTGCAGCCTGGGTCCGTCTCCCCGTGGATCAGAACTGTGCCAGGGTGACCGTCCGGGGGTTTGCTGAAGCCTCAAGAAGAGCATCGTCCTCCCCAGCTTGTCACTGTCACCAGCTGCTGTTGCACGAGATTTTCAGGTTCTCTCCTTGGCCACACCACAGGTTGGAGCCCCCCCTGCTCTGGAGACACGCTGGGAGGGCTGGGGGGGTTCACCTGGAGAAGGCTCCAGGGAGACCTGAGAGGTTTTTTGCAAGGTGATAGTGAGGTCCTACCACAAGTTGCCAGAGCAGCTGTGGCTGCCCCATCCCTGGAAGTGTCCAGGGCCAGGTTGGACGGGGCTTGGAGCAATGTGGGATAGTGGAAGGTGTCCCTGCCCATGGCAGGGGGTGGACAACATGACCTTCAGCTCAAACTACTCTCTGTTTCTGTGTCCCAGAGCCAGCACTGGAACACACTGAGATGTTATTTGGGGCTTCATCTTAAAGTTTGGGGGTCTCATCTCTTTGTTTGGAGTTGGAGGTCTGATGCTGCTGCCTCTGAAAGAACCCCCTCCCTTTCCACAGCCCATGGTTGCTCCGTGGTCTCAGACCAGGTCAAAGCCTTCAGCTGGCAGTGACAAAACCCAAGCTTGGGCATCCTAGAATCCTAGAATGGTTTGGGCTGGAAGTGACCCTAGAGACCATCCAGCTCCAATGCCCCTGCCATGGTCAGAGACACCTTCTACTTAGACCCTACCTCAGGGCTCTGCCTTTCTCAGCTCACTTCAGCCCACACAAACCTGTTCCTGGGCTCTGTCCCCACTCCAGCCCCAGTGACTGGCAGGAGTTTTCCAGGCTAGTTGAGGAGTGACATGAATGAATGACTCGCTCAGGGGCTGAGACTACGGGAAAACCAGAAGGCTCTGCCCACGACAGCTGTGCATCTGTGCCAGGGATGCCAGCAGAGCCAGGCCAGGCTCCAGTGACCCCATAGCCCTCCCTCAGGGGCTGTGCCCCTGCCCAACCAAGGCAGCCAGGGGGAGCTCCAGGCTGGAGGCTGATGGTGCAGCAGAGCAGGGCACCCACAGAAATAGCACCTCAAATCCTGGAGTCAGTTTTGGGCCCCTCACTACAAAAAAAAAAAAAAAAAAAGGATACTGAGGGGCTGGAGCATGTCCAGAGAAGGAAACAGAGCTGGAAAAGGGTCTGGAGCAGCTGAGGGAGCTGGAGGGGCTCAGCCTGGAGAAAAGGAGGCTCAGGGAGGACCTTCTGGCTCTGCAACTCCCTGACAGGAGGGGGGAGCTGGGTGGGGGTCAGGCTCTGCTCCCAGAGAACAAGGGACAGGAGGAGAGGAAATGGCATCAAGTTCTGCCAGGGGAGGCTTAGGTTGTATATTGGGGAATATTTCTTCACTGAAAGAGCTGTCCAGGCCTGGCACAGCTGCCCAGGGCAGTGGTGGAGTCCCCATCCCTGGGGGGATTTAAAAGATCTGTAGATGTGCCACTTGTACATGGGTTAGTGGTGGGCTTGGCAGCGCTGGGGAATGGTTGGACTGGATGATCTTAGAGGGCTTTTCCACCCCAAACAATTCCCCGATTCTGTGATTGCTGTGAATCCAGCCGCTGCTAGAGGGCAGAGTGAGCCAGGCGAGACAGGTGGCTTTAGCTGTGCGGGAGCTGAGATGTGGGAAACGTGTTTGCTTCCTCTTTCCCTTCCACTGAGCCATGTGGGGGAAGAGCTTCAGCAGCACGAGGGATAATCTGTGACATGGTTTGAGGTTTGGAGTGAGATGACTCACGCTTTGATTGCTTTACGGAGCGCTCCGGGGCTGGATTAAGCCGTGTTTGTGGGGAAGGCGCCGCGCGGCAGTGCAGAGGCAGCGGGGCTGAGCTCCTCGTTCCCAGCACATCAGGGCTGCACCCCTCGCCCTGAGCCACTGCCGCCGCTCCCGGTGCTTGTCAGGAACAGAAAACAGGCCTGGACGAATGGCCAGGGCATCCCAAAGGGGACAGCTGCCATCTCCCAACAACTCACGAGGCTGGAACGTGGGGTCTGGCACAAGGCTGTGTCCCAGCCCGGTCCCTTTTGCAGGCAGTGGGGTAAGGGCAGCTCTGATGTGCTCAGGCAGGTCTGCAGCTCCCGCCAGCCCCGGCTGCTGAACCCTCACACCAACCCCACCCGCGGGTGTCCCAGGGACCTTCCTCATGCAGCCAGGGCAGCGTAGCCACTCAGGGATCCTTTGGTTTCACCCTGGACTTCCTCGTGCTGTCCCAGTGCTGGTGCGTGAGGTGTTCTCATCTCAAAATCTGAAGTAAAAGTTTTCCCTGTCCCTCTCCGAGCCAGAAGGGCAGCTGTCCGGGTGAGTCAGGCTGGTGCTCCTCCCGGGACCATCACGGCCTGTGTCAGCACCACCTCGTCGCAGGGACAGCGATTTGGGAGACTCACCTTTGGCCGGGAGGTGTGAGCAACCCCTCTGCCATGGCAGTGCCGAGGTGAGAGCTGCCCGACCCTGCCTGCAGTGCCGAGGTGAGAGCTGCCTGACCCTGCCTGCAGCCCTCGGTCACCCCCAGCCCTCAAACTGACAGGAATAAATCCAGTGGGTGTCACAACCACCTCGGGCTTCAGCCCCAGGAGCTCCCACACCGTGCCCTGCCTTCCTGGGTGAACGTGCTCAGAGTCCCCACGCAGGAGTTCGGAGGGCATGGGCAGCGAGTGGGCGGCGTGCCTGGGGTGCCCCACACAGCCTGGACATCTCTGCATGCTGAAGAGCTGGGCTGGGAAGGGCAGGAGCTGCTCCTGGAGCAGGTAGACAGGGAGCATCAGCTCCAGGCTGGTGTGCAGGCACTTTGTGTGTCTCACCGCAACCTCAGGGGGTGGCTGGGCCGTGTGCGAGGGGACATTTTGGCAGATGGTCTGTCCACAGGAGGCCCTTGCAGAGCTTCTCTGCATCTTTACCAGCGACAGATTAGGAACTTCTCTGCCCAGGGCTGTGGAAGGGGATGCTTTGTGTCTGGTCCCTGCCATTTCCAGGGCAGGGTGCAGGTAGGCAGCAGCACCCTCAGCCCAGAACCAACCTCTGCCCAGGCTCTTCCCAGCTCTGTGCACAGCAGATATGGCTGTTTATCCAAGTTTTTTCCCTGTCCTACTTGCAGGCTGAGTCTCAGATCAGTAGTGCCCTCCTGCTCAAGCTCAGGGGCATGATCCACCTGTACCAAAGCTTCTCAGCTCCCAGAGCCACTGGCCCTGGAGAGGTTTGGGCTGGCTTTGCCCTGGGCCACAGGGCAGGATCCTGCAGACCTTCTGGCCATGCAGCTCCTGGAGATGTTCTGGGCTTACCAAGAGCAACGTGGGTCCAAATTCATGCGGTGCTGGAGCTGGGCTGTGCCACCCACCCTCCAAAGCTGATGGGGAATTCACTCTGTCCCCGGGAAGTTCACTCTGTCCCCAGATAAACTATGCAAGTATCAGCTACTACCAGTAAATTAATGAGCTATGGGAAAAGCTTAACCTGAGGGCACACCACAAACTTTTTCACTGGTGATGGCCCCCTTGGGGTTTTAAGCAGCTTGGAGGAAACAATGCCCCCCACATCAGTGGCACTGTGGACAGACAAGGCACAGTGGCACCCAGGTGAGCGCCCAGCCCCAAACCCCGCAACTCCAACAACCCTCTGCTCTGTCCTGTTCAGCTCAGCAAACCCAACGCCGTGGAGCTGGGTGCCAGGAGGCTGCCAGAAGCTGGCTGCTCTTTGGTGGGGGTTGCAGCCCCCCAGCTGGCTCGGGAGGCAGGGCCAGGTGCTGCGCCACCGCCGCACGCGCTCGCCTCCCGCGCAGGCTGCTGCGAGGGCTGAGGTAATCCTGGGTAATTCCTGACTTCCATGGAAATGCCTGCAGGCTGCGATGATTATCGCTGTAATTAGCCTCTCTGATTTTTCTTGGTGTTCTATAAAATATTAATTTACAGCTGGATCCTTGCCTCCTTTGTGTGCCGGCTTGAGCTCTTCCCATCAGCAGAGCATCTCTGGCACCTCGCGCCGGGGTCCTGTGGGGTTATGCAGCAGAGCTGGGGCGGCCACTGGCGGCTGGATAGTGGTTCAGGTGGGTGGCTCTGGGCAGGAACTTCCACTTCCCCACAGGAACATGCCCTTGGAGCTCCTATTTCAAAGGAAATATGGAAAGCCAGTGAAGTGCTCTTACTCAGAAAATGCCATTCCCACCTCTTCCCCTGGATGGCTGGAGGTGAGCAGGCAGCTGTACTGCTCCAGAAACCCTTTAATACAACATAGCTCCATCCCATTTCTCTGTTTGGGACTGGAGGAGTGTTTTTGCTCAGCTGCATGGGAAGTCAGGTGAGGTAGCAGCCAGACCACATTCCCCACCCAGCCTGAAGCCACCAGAGGGAACACGGTGCTGTGATTTCCACTGCCAAAACAAAGCAGGACTCAGTGGCACATGGTGCCCTGAAAACCCACTGCTCACACCAGCATTTTGAAGTTGTCTCGTTTCTCAGCCAAATTGAACAGAATCCACTTGAATCTCACTAACAAGGTGGAAAAGGCCATCTCTGATACTTTTGATCCCAATCACTGGG